CCTTGCCTAACTTGCAACACCAACAACAACCAACAAGAAAAACACACTCAAACAACGCACTGCAGTCGGCTGACCTGCGGAGAAGATTGCAAGCGCCAGCGCTAGCGCAGGCAGCAGCTGCTGTCGATAAAAATTTCTTTCTGTTATTGGATTTTTCGGTTTATTATGAACATACATATGTACAAATGAATGTTTGTAGTCGCATTATTTGCGGATCATATTGCTTTTCAATTTTTATTTTTATGGTTGCATCTGTTGTTTTCGACCAGCGCTGCAGTTAAACTTGCGCAATTATTTTGCTGTTGCAAGTTGGCTATTTGATTGCACCGCTCAGCGTTCGACTGTCAAGCGTTTTTGTTTTACGCTTCTTTCCATTTTTTTGCATCTATAGTTGTTGGGAGTTTTATATTTACTATTGCGTGGTTTTATATCACATACATACATAACTATTTTGTTTTCGCTGTAAATTTTTTTTTTATTTTTTGTTATGTATTTTTTTTTTGCTTTCCTTTATATAAAATCAGTTCTTTACTGCTGTTGATTGCTTCATGATTCAACTGGGACATTTTGATCCCGCTGGCATGTTGGCATGAAAATGGCGTCATCGTAATCAGCTGTTACATAGCTGATGATTGAGGTTTTGATCGTGTTTTATCTGCTTGATTTTTATAGTTTTTTGTTTTAAGTTAAATGAAGCAGCTGCTTCCCTGATCAGCTGCCTATCTTTAAAAATACATGCAACAATATGGAACTCTATTCCTTTCTTAATGAGAAAACAACAGAAATGAAGTGAACATTAGACTTTTAATAAATATTTGGAGTAAAGAGCACTTCTTTTCCGATCACCGCTATATCCAAACTGATATAAGTATAGGGAAGACAAGCTCCACAAGCTTTTGTCGCAAGACAACGAGCCAGTTATTCCAACAAACCTAGTGGAGCTGGAACATCTGGTCGACCGATATACGGGCTACCGACATAGCCTGCACCAAAAAGAAGCACTGAAAAGGAAAAAGCCACCCTGGTGGAATGAAGAAGTCAGTATTTTACGCAAGAACTGCAGAAAAACCTTCAATCAGGCCACTACGTCTGGTAGTGAAGGATATTCGGAGACCTACAAGCTATCCCTATGAAAGTACAAGAAGCTCCTAAGAAGGTCGGTTGCCCAGAGAGGTTGCTGCTTGCAAAGACCTCATCGCTCTTGGACTTAAACCGAGGAGGAATCACTAGTTCTGCTTCTAGGCACACACTTCCCGGGAGCAACGGGCAGCAGGTCAGTGCAGCCACATCTAATTGGAAACCATTCAGTCAATAGAGAATTCTTCGATTGGGAAAGGGTCATCTGGTTATAGGGGCGTTTAAGCCTTATAAATCACAAGGTCCGGATAGCATCGCCCCCACACAGCTGCAGCAAACATTACAGCAAAGCTCAGCGTGGCCACACGCAATAACTAAGGGAATATTAGCACTTAATCACATGCCTAGAAGGTGGAGGGAAACGAGATTGGGAGATGGTGAAGGAAAATTCTATGAAAACATAAAACAGAAATCCATTTTTTTCAGGCCCAGTTGATGGAAAGCTGGTAACAGACGTAATGATCTCGACCCAAAAAAAACGATTTTAGTTCTAAATAAAATAAGAATCAGACTCAAGTCTGTGCTGGATATAAAACTCGCAAAGGAAAGGCTGTCTCAGTTACTGTAGGCCTCCCCATTTTTGTCTAAGCTAATCAAGACGCTCGTACCGATTTTGAAAACGTAGTACCCTAGCCTTGAAAGCTAACTCTATTGAAACATTTCCTCCTCCCGACTATTTTCCGCCAGTAGGTTTCTTATGATCGACTGTTAACTTTACCACCAACTTTCCGACTGCAGTAAACACTCAAATGTCGCATAAAATGTTGATGCTGCAGCAAAAATCACCACCGTTACAGTTACTGTTACAATGCTCTTTGTCTGCTAAGTAAGTAAGACTGCGTGTTGTTGCTATTGATCTCCAGTCTCCGCTGCTGATCTTCATTTGCGAACAACCTGTTGCAAGCTACTACCGGCAATCGATCGCATCGCTCAACCAACCCAAACAGCGAGATAACCAGACATGCAGGCAAGTAACTAGCCAGTATGGCGAAAAGTAACAGAGGCTGCATCACCAGCAGCAGTAGGAGCAGCATTTGTTGCACATGAAAACGCAAACGTTGTAGCAATTTCACTTTCATTCGCCGAACGCGCGCGTACCACGGCAGACGTGTTTTTCGAATAGCCGTCGCAGCAGCAAAACGCCTTGGAGGCTAAACGATCAGTCGGGACGAAGTGTCGAATTCCTTTACTCACAGGCTATTGCAAGAAATTAATTGGAATTTTTGAACAAAAAAAAAAAAAAAACAGTGCATTCGAAAAGTCTGTGTGTGCTAAAATAATATTTGATTTCTTAATTTTCTTAACCACAGCTTGCAACCAGCGCTGTGTCAAGCGGAATTTTCGTAATTGCTTGCATCTTCGCCGCGCATCTTTAATATTTTAATTGCCACATTGTGTGGCAGCTACATAATTGCTAATTTTTTTTCGCGCAAAACCCAATTTCATGCACGGTCTTGAAATCACTTTTCCACGGCTATCAAATAAAATATAAAAGAAAACTGAATAAACTTTATTTCGTTCGTGCAACTAATTTGTGAAACTAAGTGAATCTAATTTTGTACGTTTTTTTTTTTTTTAATTTACCTTTTTGGTGATTACTTGTTTATGTGTGAAACTATTTTTTATAGAAATACGTGTATATTGTATCTGCCACAATAGCCGTGCAATTGCAGCGAATTACAGTGACATTTTTTTCAAGTGGTTTCACATGCCGCCAACAACAATTTACTCATCACTCAGACGCCGTCTTTGAATGGAAATTGAAGGTTGGTGGAAGGTTTTTTTCGTGGTTATGAAAGAAAGTTGCTATTCGCAAATTCTTTTTTTTTTCAAGCTTCGTATAACTAAGACCATGA